GTGTGTGGGTGTGTGTATGAATGCATATTTGACTACTCTGTGTCCCTGATTATAGCTGTAAGCCGTGATGTTTTAATCACCCACATTTCGAATTTAACCTTTCTATCCTTTCTATCAGTACACCTCAATACCACCCCAACACACGTGTACACACCACACACACACACACACACACACACACACACACACACACACACACACACACACACACACACACACACACACACAACTGCTCCACATGCATCCTCCGGTGGTACAATTCAGTGTGAGTGGAGGCTTTCATTGGGCACAGTGGTCCCAGTGAGAAGTCGACCGCAGCAATTAACAGAGAGATGAAAGACACCAGGCTGCTTGCTGAATAATTAAGACTGGTTTGATGAGCAGGGAGGGGCTCAACGGGGAGGTTGGGTGTAGGTCCTTACTAGACAAGTGTGTCCAGTGATATAAAATGTGCTACTTGGACATGATTAAATTAATTTGTGTTTGTGTGTTGATTGATTGGCTTTCAAAACATGATGGAAGAGTGTAGATAGATTTCACAAATCCAGACAAAAATTGTGTTTCAGACCACCTTGAGGCACAGCGAAGACTCCAGAAATTTTATTATGTTGTCCTCAGGGAAGTCAGGTTATCCTGTGGCGGTAGGCTGAGAGCAGGCCCAGACGTGGTGACTGATTTTCAGCCATAGTGGTCTTGCATTATGCAAACTACACAGTAGGGTCAATACGCACATTGATCACCCAGTTTCTGGTGAAGTAGAACATAAAGGAGAGAACAAAACCCCAGTGCATGAAGGGAAGAGTTTGATTGGTAAATTGGAAAGAAAAGGAGTACTGCAGGCAGTATGAGATACAGGCAGGGAGAATAAAGGGAGCGAGAGATTGAGGCAGACACAGCAAACAGGGACTCTCCCAGGAGTGTTTCAACCAAATGTATTTAAATGTATTCTGCTAATTACAAAACTCTAAACACATACACGCTGATGCAAACACTGTCTGGCATTTTGTAGCACCGTTGTACTGAGGTAATTACATGCGCCTGCTTTACACACAGTGTGTGTCTTTGTATATTTATGTATGTATGTATGTGAGTGTTTTCATAAGTGCATTTCTGTGTGTGAGGGTGTCTGAGGGAGAGAGCAGAAGATAAAAACAGACTTACATGCGGGAGACACGATAAGCGGAGCCTTTTCCACAAAGATTAAGTAGTATGGATTAAAGCAGAACATGCGGGTGGTTGGCTGTGCTTTCTCCCAAGTGAAGATGAATCAAGACACTATTATATCTCAAACAAAAACATTAACTGTAGCGATTTTCTTCAAAACAACTCAAGTGTCTTGGGGAATCCTATCTTCATTCACACCTAAATACTGTAAAACACATCTGAAACCTCTGTAGAGTATTTTAGAGCATTCATTCCACAATAGTTCAACATTCCCTCGATTGCAGCGACAGCTTTGTGTAAAGGACACACTGTAGTCGGTTCACTGGTTAGGTGACAGGTAGGGGATATAGAAAGGAAAACACACAAACAGAGAAAGCATTGAGTGTGGTTTTCTTTCATTCTGGTGCTAATCTATCCGATCAGATGAAGAGCAGCTCTCAATAGCTACTCTCTAACCACCTGCTTGTGTGACTACTTCATTGATTTATTGACCAGTGTCGGTCTGGACATTGGCTGGACACACACCCCTTACTGTCCCCTCACCACCTCCCGCACTTCCTCTGCTCTTTTGTCGACATTTTATGTAGCTTTGTGGCTCACGTTTGTGCATGCAAGGTAAAGATGTAGGAGAAGGCTATTGATGAATTTATATTTGATGGCAAAACATTTTTTTGCCACCATGGCCAGACAGTAGCCAATTGTGACCTGGAGTGATGTTGATTCAACTTAATGGGGTGGACCCATAAAGTTTTAAATGCTTATAGATGGATTCAACCAAATAATGGAAGTAGTTGTAGCTAGGTGTACCTAATAAACTGGCAACTGAGTGTATCTGCGATAAGCCAGTATCATCCGGTACATCAGCCAGGCTGATCTAGCTCTAGTGGGTGTTCAGCTTTCATTCACAAAATCTCTCTCTACTGTGAGTACCGGATGCCGCCCAAGGCTCGACAGTATTGACAACAGTATATTCATGAAGGTTTCTTGGAGATTAAAAAAAAAGATTTTTTTCAATGTGATGATTTTAATTGATTTTAAGCATATTTATTTATTCATTTATTTATGTTTATGCACAGATAGGATGCAAATACTGTAGTAGTAGTGGGTACCACCAAGACATTTAGTGCAAGTATAATCAGCACACGTTATAAGATTATAAATTGTTGTAACGTTTGTTTCAAGATCTTGGAAGATGCAAGTGCATGTTGCATCTCATGGTTTATTGTATGCTTTTATTAGTTTGTATTTCTCAGCCAAATAGCCCATCTCTACCACACAAATTTGGTTAGGACTGAACCACGGTTTTTGGCCTCAAACACTCTCCTCTCCTCTCTGGGTTTATACAATGTATGTCCTTGTTTGAACCAATATCCTGTCAAAGTGTTTTGTCATCAAGTCAGTGAAAAACAGTGCCAGCTGGATAACTAAAACATTTAACCTTCACTGTTTTCAATTTTCAAATCCTAAATAATCACAGATGCTAGTCCATGTTACTAATACTTGGACCAGCATCTGGCCAGAACAAGGATGTGCACTTTTAACTAAATTGCAAAGAGATCTCTATTTCTCCGGCAAGAACAGTGGGAAAATGAGGGGAAGAGAGCAAGGAGAAGGGAAAGAAAGACATGTCTCCAGGGATGCATTTTAATTCACTCAATTGCCCTATATTCCCCTGCAGTTTTTGTTTTGATGATAGTGACGCTTTGCATATCTTCACCCTCCAAGCACAGAGGATGTGCACAGGAGGGGGACCTGTGTGTGTGTGTGTGTGTGTGTGTGTGTGTGTTTTCTACCTTCCAGCATCAGGGTATTGTATTCTGCTACATTGGATGGGCACAGGGTGGTTGGGATTGTGACGACATTAATTAGAGACACAGCAAGAGGAGGAGGGAGAGATTGCATGTCAGTGTTATAGGAGGTGGAAAAAGGGAATATCATGGATGGTTTGTTGTTACTTGTTTCCCACTTGTCTTTTATGTTTCTTGTAAAATGTGACAACTTTTTTTCATGTATAAAGTATTTTTTCTTGCCTTTACCAATAATTGAAACTATTATTATTATTAATAAACTATTAAACAATCAAAGAGCTGTATCATGAAAAAGATGTGTTTTAATCACGCTCTCACAAAAATAAAGGCCTTTTAAGATTTGTACTTTGTATTTCAAGGAATCCATCTACCTGTGGATCATGAGCACCTGCTTTGTGTGTCATTTCTGTCAAGTCCTTCAGTCTATCCAGTTTGATGTACGCAAGGACACAGAAGCGTGTGTGGTGATTTTGCAACAGTGTTTGTGTTGGTTGTATCCAGTGGATCTGGCATAGGTAATCATAGTTAGTTTGTGCATCACTCAAATGAGAGTGCAGATGGAACACACACAGTATTTGCCACCTTCAGATGGCTATACAAGGAGTTATTTAATTGACAGAGGAGGCGTTTATACTTGCAAGCTTTTGTGGATGAGGGATGCTAATAATACCTTGTTGGAATTATTGCCATGTTTAAAATAAAACTGCAATTTAGATGGACTCTACCAGTTAAAAATGTGTAATGAAATTGTAGCAGACAACACAGTGTGCTTTTGACCTGTTCTGAACAGCAGACAAATCCTGACACCGGAATCGTAGTGTTGCCAGTGACGCTCCCCCTTCTGCACCTCTCCTCCCACTTTGGTGTCTGGCAAGTCACCAAAATACCAGGCTCAGGCAAGGGGGAAAAAAACCTCACAGCTCCTCCAGAAAATGCCGCTTTTGCCGGAGCCCACACAGAGATAGAGCCTGCTGTTGTAACTTCAGCTGTCACACACAATCTGCATCCAAAAATACCAATTTAGCTCAGTGTTCACTTCTCTGTTCGGGTTGCAATAAGAGCAAGACAACACAAGCCCTTCCCTGTCTATCTGTTACTGGAGCTGAGAAACAGTTAACTTGGATTAAATTGGCTGAGATGCGTGCGCCTGGGTGTGTGTTTGTGCATGCATCGTGCTTAGAAGAGCAGTTGAACAAAGATTTATTTTTGTTAGTTTTATGGCCACAGTGAAACTCCAGGCCTGTCCTGGCACCCTGCCCACCCACCTTTATTCCAGATGTTACCATGGTGAAACTTATGGGTGGTATCCCGGCAACCAGACAGCGGTTTGGGAGCTGGAGACGACTGTTGTATGAGAGTGATAGATAGATTACTAGAGAGAGAGAGAGAGACGGCTCTTTCTGTGTTGTTCTTCCCCCTCCAGAGGCTGAGGTCTGGTGTTGATTTAAGCCCTGTCTTAATGTGATTATCACCCCAACGTTAAGGGCTCTGCTCATTCCCTCTGCTACATTGATTTCCATTTAAAACTGTAATTGAGAGGAACAAACATTGGTATTAGCTTTTCCCGCTCTCCATTGCTCTCTTGTTCTCTTTCTTACAGCATAGACTGCTCAGTTTTTCAGGAGTTCACGGAGGGAGAATTTAGTTGGCTGGAGTCCAGGGACAAGGCCGGTTCCTGGGAGCAGCGAGGAGGAAACTGGGATTTTGCCAAAGGCTGTTAACTGCTGGGTATATGATGGACCAGGGCAATACACTGTCCCACATTGTCTCACAGCCACACAGCTATGGTGGAGCTGACCTGTATACAATCACTATAGTTTTTTCTTCAGTCTCATGGTCTGCAATGAGATCTACATATGGCAAGCTGTGGTTTGGCGTCCATCCAAAGCAATGTTAACTCTTTGAGATGGATATGGAGGCAAAGGAGCAGATTAACCTTTAGAACACAGAGGGGAAGAGTAGGAAGATGGTCCACCCAGGGAAGCTGGGACTTGGTGGGAAATGAGACATGAAGATGGATTTGGCTTGTAACCAGTTTATTGTTTAGAGCTGGGAGTAAACTCGTTGATATCATGAAAAAGTTAGAAGGAATTTGTTTGAATAGTAAATAATTCTATGGATGCAGGCAATAGTCCCATTGCCCAAGTTATGTGTAGAGGAGAGTTTCAGTCATTCTCCTCGTTGCTTTCTCCTTTGTGGATCAATAACACTCTATACCTGCATTTATATGCAGTCATCCTGTGGAGAAGAGTAGAGGGAGGGAAAAATAATGAGCAGGTGAGCAGTATATGAAGAATATGTTGATGAAATAGACTGAGACGCAAAGAAAAACATGGAAGAGAGAGAAAGGATGTGAGCTGTAAAGACATATTTCCAAAAGGGATGGAAAGCAAGAGGAAAGAGAAACAATAGCGTGATGATGAGTTGTCTTTATATTGAAAAAAACCCAGATGGATTGGCTAATTAGTTGAGGCCAAATCATGGAGGGGTTTTTTATTGGCTAGACAGATAGATGCACTTTTCTTTCATTTGCATAATCATCCCCATCATTGAAATAAATACTCACACTGGGAGAGAAACTCAGAGTTCAGAGGGAGAGATTGAACACTAGGATAGTTGACAATTATGCAAAGCAAATAATGAAGGGAGAAGTAAACGGTGGAAAGTGTCGTGTGTGTGTGTGTAGTGCCGATGTTAATGTATCTTCATTACGACCCACTAACTGTATCACAAAAGCATGCAACATACGTGACATAAAACTTGCTGCCGTTACGTTGAAACAACAACAAACTACAGTCGGCCTGCGTCATTACTGCGGTGACATCCCACCCGCTTTCTTTCTTCAAGTCTTTTCAGAGTGCACCTCAGTGTGTGCACTTACGGAGGAGGATTCAAGGGCAGAGCTAAGTGATATTCTATGAGGGAGCATGAATGTGGAGGGAGGGGAGCACAAAGGGAGAGAGAGAGGAAGAGTAGGGCGAAGAGGAGACAGCGGCAGTAGATGCTGCGAAGATAGCGGTATTGTTGAGGACCTTTTTTGTTGTTTGGTGTTTTTGTTCCCCTCATCATTCTCCCACCTCCTCCAAGTACAAAAGAGAAAAGAGAGTTGACATTCAGCATTGGTGTGGGGAAGCTAGGCAAATGACAAAACGCAACGCACCCCGCCACTGCTGTCACCTGTGTGTGGGGAGTTTTTATGCATGTGTTTGGCTGTGTGTGTGTGTGTGTTAGTGTGTGTGTTAGTGTGTGTGTACACCCTTGGGTACCAGACAAACAGTCCAGACATTTTCTAGTCAAGGACAAACTCACTGAAGACCCATAAGGTTTTCTCACCTGTCCCAGTCTTACTTGTAGCCCATGTTTCTCTTGTCTGCTACATTTGATGATATATATATATGCTGTATATAATATCCTGTTCTCATTCACATGTTCAAAAGCCACTTTTTTTGGGAAGCAGTGATGCGGCCAGTCCTGCAGGACGACTGGTTGTCTGGGTGTTGTTGGCGCGTTGTCTCCGGTGCTGGAGGCCCCATTGAAATGCCAGCTGAGTGTCTGAAAGAGAGACAACCTCGCTGATCAATCAGGAATCTCCTCATTCATTATTCACAGTGAGCCCATCCAATCGCTTGGAGCCCAGGGCCACCACACACTGTCATCAATGCCGCCATTGATTATCAGGCCTCATCAGCGTTTGTTTGGCTTGTCAAATCAATGCCTTTTTAACGGCATGCCATCCCTGCAGGAGACCACAGATGAATATTTCATATCCCCTCTGATCCAATCATAATTCAAAGCATATCACGCAGCTAACTCTCCTGATGTTGTCAGAAATACTTTTATCATTATTGTTCAATAGTTTTCTCCAGTGCTAGATACAAATCAGAAGAGAGAAATGGGCAAAAGTGAACTAGGTTTTTGTCAAAGGTTAGTCCCTGTCAATAGTGCAGAATCCCCGCTGATTACTGTGAATTATTCTAAGTATTGTCAAGAATAACACACTTCCATTTTTTTTGTCATATACATGTTATATGCATTTTCTGCTAACTTTACAGTATAAAATGTCACATTATGTCACCAGCTGCCACAGTATGTAGCCTGATCTGCAGCAGCAGTGCAAGAATTAACTAGTTTAAGATTTGGCTTTTGAATTGTTTTCAATAAGCTTCATGAATTTAGAACAAGTGTGGATTTATGGTAAGACTACACAGGATGATAACTTCTGCTAATTACGTGGGGACCTGTGATTAATCTAAAATCTGGCAAAAGTTTGAGGGGATTTCTTAAATGAGTAAAAGATGTGTAGTCTACTTGAGGCTTGGCCTGAAAGCACTGATGGGAAATGAGAGGCTAAATGAAACTTTAAGCATGTTAAGCATTGTTGCACAAAGCAAATTTGACTAAACGTCTTAGAATTCAGTCCTTGTGACTTTTCTTCTACCAGTTGCAGTCATTTTGGGGTTAAATATTTCTACTTATTTCGTTTGACTTCTACTTCACCCCCAGATCCACCTGTTTGTGTAGTGGTTATGACAGGTCAGTGTAGAAAAACTAGTGCTGACAGGCATAGCTTTGCTGGGAAATAGAGAAAGAGCGCTACCCTCCCTTCACAGCGTATGTGTGTCTGTGTGTGTTTGTGTGTGCATAAATCCCCATGACAGGAAGTCAGCAGGAAATGGAGGGACTTCCACAGCAGTGTTTACTTTTACATTTCAGCAAAAATATCTGCTTCATTCCAAACAGATAGATGGCATATGAACAAAGGAGGAATCTCATATGCCCCTGAAAAGGAAATATGGAATGTAAATATTATGCACCAGACTAATATTTTTGTTTGTGGTTGCTATTCAAGGGCATGATGATATATGCAAATATCACAGTTTTTAGGATGTTTGGACACTGGCTGTGCGCATGAGTGGTCAAAACTCCTTCAGCATGTACAACACTACAACAGAGAATAAGATCTAGTGCCCCCTTGTACATGATGGATACAGCTCTGTTTTGAATAGGAATCAGCTGCAGCAATCTGCATGCACTCCAGAAAAGCTCTTTGTCAGCTACCTGGATTATCCTGATGGACTAACGATGTGGACGGAGGATGTGCTTGCTAAACACAGAGGTTTTGATTCTATAAAACCACAAACATAAACACACACGTGTGTCCAAGAAATCCCTCAGAGCCATGTTAGTGACCCGCAACCAGTTGCCGTAATCATGAAAGCAAGAACACAGTCCAAACCCGATTCATCACTTCTGTATCCTTAACTGCTCCCTCTGTTGTTCACCTGTGTTTTTTTTTCTCCTTTCATCTCTTTATCTCTAACTCTCTCCCTCTCTTACCTCTGTTTGTTTGACAGAAGCTGAGAGGATTAGTTAGATAGGGGAGCTCTGAGGACTCTGTTTACTGTAAAGCACGTTCGTGACACATCTTCCCCTTTTCTGATGTGTGTGTGAGAGAGAAACCAGAGAGACAAACCCCTCCTTGTTTTTAAAAGGGTCTCACACTACTGTATTTCCCCTTGTTGCATCTCCTTGCTTACTCCCTCATCCCGCCACTGCTTTCTCACACTCCCTCATCCCTCCTTACCCCCATGGAGATCTCCCCAGTTTCTCAAAGGTATTTCAGTGATGGCTCCAGGCACATCTTTTGTTCTTTCGTTCTGTATCCCTCCTGTTAACACCGTAACCGCAGTGACTGTGCCCCTAGCCAGGAAACACAGGCTGGCCTGAAGCTCTGTTTGGGGCAATAGCACCGGGTGCAGACAGACACGCTAACACATACACACACAGACACATTAGGATGTAGACACACACACGCATGCTTTCTCTCTGACTTTCTGTCTGTATCTCTGTCTCTGTCATTTACACACACACACACACACACACACACACACACACACACACACACACACACATACACATACACAGGACTCAGTGTGTGCTCTCTACCTGGGGCTATGAATCAATGAAAGCAAGCTCTGAAGTGTTTGACCTCTGAGTCTGGCTGTTGTGCGTCAGCAGGTATTTTCACTCATAATATCGCCACCAGGGAAGACGCACACACCCACACACTGATATACACAGATGAACATGACCTAGCACTTAAGGAAATAGCTGAAAGAGAATCAGTTTAAACTCAAACTGAACAAACAACTTGACCTGGTAGTAGATTAGCTCAGATTTTTCTCTCTCTTAAATCCTTTGGTCTTTAATTTGGTCAGATTTGTCATGTTAGAAAAATATTACAGATTAAAAGGTGTAATGTAGGCCTTGTAGCGCCATTTAACAAGTTGACTAGCTTATTAATAAAATTTGAACGCAAAAATAATAAAATGGAAAATAACCAGTAACCAAAGTTATCAAATAAGTGTAATGGAGTAAAAAAGTAAGATATTTGCTTGGAGCAGAAGCTAAATTAGCAGAAAATGGAATTATATAATTATATAATAAATAGTTTAACGTTTTGGGAAATTTGCTTCCTTGCTGATAATTGAGTAAAATTGATTCCACTCCTCTTTTCGTCATATGAAGCTACAGCCAGCGGACTATTACCTTAGTAGGGAGATGGGGGGCAGTTAGCCTGGCTCTGTCCAAAGGCAACAGTTCCACCTACCAGCATCTCTACAGCTCACTAATTAACTCGTTATATCTTGTTTGATGTAAAAAATCCAAACAAACAAGTTGTGGTTTTACCAGAGGTTGTGTGCCTGACTATTTAATGGCCAGGAGAAGTGACCCAAACGTTTCAGAATAAGTCTGTTGTGAATTTCCTCTCATGCATGCAGTCTGGTCTTGTGAAAGTGTTTGTATATGAACATGTGTATATAGTGAGTGTGTGTTTTTGTATATGGCTTTGTGTGTGTGTGTGTGTGTGTGTGTGTGTGTGTGTGTGTGTGTGTGTGTGTGTGTGTGTGTGTGTGTGTGTGTGTGTGTGTGTGTGTGTGTGTGTGTGTGTGTGTGTGTGGAGAGAGAGCGAGAGAAAGAGATTGGCTGAGAGGGGAGAGTGTGTTTAGTTCTCCCTGAGTGGGTTAGATCTGATAAGGCTGACAGCCACAGGTTGATATTCCTGAGAGCAGCCACCCTCTCCCCTTCACACCACATGGCTGACACACAGACCTACAGAAATAAGATTTATGTCTCTCTGTAAAATGTTTTGAAATATAAAAGGGGGGTCTTTTTTTTATGTTTTCCACAGACATGTACAAACCAACACTGAACCATTGCAGGTGTATTGCAGGGATCAGTTCATGCATTAACAGTTTTCTATTGTAATATTCACAGCCATTACAGAATTAAGCAGACCTGGGAATCAGCCAGCGGACACTTTGCCATGCAAATGCTCCAATGGGAAAAGTCTGTGTGTGTCATTGTGACAGTTACTCTGATGCACACCACACCTCAAAAGCAACGAGTTCTCTCCGAGGCCTACTTCAAACACAGCCCCAGGCTGTCTGTGTGTGCTCTGGTCATGTCTGCCTATCTGCTTTTATTTTTCACTCTGCTTCTGATTTGTCTCCCACAGGACCCGAAGAGAATGACTGTACCCACCAAACAGCACATCTACATCTCAATGTGCATAGATGTTATCCATCTAATTTCCCACATGACTCGGGAATACAAATACACACTGGTGATCCCAGTACAATAGGCCATCATATTCACATCATTGCTTCACACAGTACAAAAAACGCCTTTGCAAAACAAATACCGATAAATGCACACAGAAATACAGACACACACATATGCAAAGTACCCTCCATTGGTCTCTTTTGCCTATGATGTGGGCCCTTGAAGAGGGCAAAGCAGTGGCATAATGACATTGAAGAGAAGCACAGAGCCCTGTGTATATAGAATGAAAGGAGAGAGGAGAGAAAAGGCTGCACCCTTATTCAATTAGCGGCATTGGCCCGGAGTAATTACTTCTACTCTCCCTAATTCGCATGTAAATTTGCGACGAGCACTGCACTATTTTAATACAATTTAGCGCCACTTTGACTGGATGCCAGTGTTGTGCACATGGAAGAGGAGCTTTGTGTGTGTGTGTGTGTGTGTGTGTGTGTGTGTGTGTGTGTGTGTGTGTGTGTGTGTGTGTGTGTGTGTGTGTGTGTGTGTGTGTGTGTGTGTGTGTGTGTGTGTGTGTGTGTGTCAGGGACATAACCGAAGACGAAAGATGAATCCTTTGTGTGATTCTGTCATAGAGAAAGGCAGTGAGAGTCAGAGAGTAAACAGATCGGAGTAGGGCAGTAGAAGGAGAGAAGGTCTATAGTGTTGACACGAAGATCAGATAAGATCTGCAGTGGGACCTGACTCACTCTGTCTGTCCTGTGGGAACAGCAGCTCTGACTCTTTCCTACAAATCTGCTGTCACCTCTCTCCTGCCTGCTACACACACACACAGACACACACATGCCCTGAGGAAATGATGGGCTAAAAAAACTGTGAGCCTCTTTTCATGAGCAGTCTAGTCGAGCAGGTGAGGTAATAAAAAGTAAATCCTAATCTCTGCCGCCACCTCTTCCCTGTATCGATTTTCTCCAGCCAATAGATTGTCTGCT